TATGTATATATATGTATATATATATGTATATATATATAATGTACTATAACGTCACCATCATATTGTTGTGCCACATCCTTAAACTATAATGGTTGGATTTTTCATAAGTATAAAATCTGAATTCTGCCTCACACATTTATCTACATATGTGTAACTTTATTAAAGATTTTTACCTTGTTTAGATTAAACAGCATCTTAAACTGGCAATTCTGTGTTGTATATTTTCTGACAATTTAATTTGAGATTAAACAGCTTTTTAAAGACACATTTTATTGCCTCCAGTTCTTTGAACTGGAAAAAACTAAATACATTTTCTAATGGTAAACCACCATCTCCACCTACAAGTCAAACCTCAGTAAACCATAAGTTCTCTTTTTCACCGTTCTCTGTCAGTGTGGTTACCAAACTGTTAAAAGATCTGGATTCTAGAAAATCTGCAGACACTGATGACCTCCCTCCTTACTTCTTAAGTCTAGCTGCACAAATTATAGCAGAACCAGTGTCATACATGTTTAATCTGTCTATACAACATTCATTCATTCATTCAGCCTTTAGACAGGTAAATCCCATTGAGCCTTGAGGACTCATTTACAAGAGAGACCTGATTTCAACAAAGAATGATGACAACAATGGACAACAGCGACAACAATAGACCGTTACAAAAAGGCATACAGATTTTTTTTTGTTTGTTTTACAAATAAGATGGCAAAAAAAGTAACAAAAACAGCTAGATTCTAAGGCGAATGTGGAAAACTAAAAACAGGAACATGTCTGCATTGGTCCTTGCCAGGAGTCCAACAGATGCTTAAAGCCACTTAGAGAGGTCAAGGTCGAGAGCTTCAGATCTTTTTGTAAGATATTCCAGGAATTAATTAATTCCAGGAACATAATACTGTTCCAGATGTTTGGAAAACATCTTATGTACTGCCATTATTGAAGGGAGGAGACACTGTATTTTAGCTAAGGTTTCAGAAAAACTAATAAATACTCAAGTCAAGAAATATTTGGACTCTTTTAATATTTTATCTTCCCATCACTCCAGCTTCAGGAAACAACATAGAACAATGACTGCTTCACTAAAGGTTTTTAATGATGTTGTTGAAGCTTTGGATGCTAAGGATTACTGTGCTGCAATTTACTTAAGCCTGTCCAAAGCCTTTGATACTGTAGATCCTGACATCTTATGCCACAAGCTCTCAGATATTGGCTTCTCAGATCACACTGTTGGCTGGTTCTCAAACTATTCCTCAGGTCGGAGGCAATGTGTTCGACATAACGGTACTTCATCTATCTGCCTAATGATCACTAATGGTGTGCCACAAGGCTCAGTTTTAGGACCCACTCTTTTTGCAATTCATATAAATAATGTAGGTCAAAACCTTCCTGATGCATCCTTGCATCTCTATGCTGATGACACTGTTGTTTATTGCCAACACAGTTGCTAAGGTTTTCCAGCTTCTACAGTCTGCATTTGACATCATTCAGTCAAACTTATTCCACCTCAAACTAGTGCTAAATGCTGATAAAACCAAAGGGATGTTGTTTTCCAACAGAAAGTTGGTGTCAGCAGTTCTTACTCCTATCTCATCCATGCATGGTGTTCCTATTGAGTTTGTGGATCCTTACAAATACCTGGGAATTTTAGTTGATGCACATCTCTCTTTTAAACCACATCTTGACAATTTGATAAAGAAACTGAAAATAAAACTGGGTTTCTTTTTTAGAAATTGATCTTGCTTAACTCTGAAAGCCAGAAAACACCTTGTAACCGCTTCTTTCCTACTGGCCATTGACTATGTTGACATTATTTACATGGATGCCCCTGCCAGCTCTGTGCAGATGTTGGATGCTGTCTACCATGGCACGCTAAGATTCATAACTGGTTGTAACTACCGTACCCATCACTGCACTCTGTACTCCTTGGTCAGTTGGTCATCATTATCTACACGTAGGCTCTCACACTGGTCCATTTTCATCCATAAATCCATCCTTGGTCTACCTTCTTATATCTCATCCTACATGTCATGCCATCAGTGCAGTTACGACGTACGCTCTCAGGCCATCATTACCTGCAGCGTTTCCTCAGTGCGAGCTGAACTTGTCAAAAAGCTCTTTTCTTACTCTGCTCCTATAACCTGCAACACCTTGCAACAAGAATTGAAGCTGTCCATCTTAATTTCTTGATGGGATTTTAAACATTTGATAAGGTTAATAGAAACATCAAATCAAACATGTTCTTCTTGTTTTTACCATTTTACCTTGTTTTATATGGCACCTTGACTTTATTGTTTTATATCACTACTTTTATTTTAATTGCATTTTATTGTAGTCCCTTGTTGTCTGTACTTTATATGTTATCTGTATAAAACAGATCTCTCGAGTCCTCAATGTCTTCAAAACAAACTTAATGATAATTAATAACTGCAGGATATTAGGCCCCTGTGCTCTTGGCTTTCACTAACTGTGGCCCCCTGAACAATTCAGTTGAATAGCTTGGTCATAAAGTGTCATTCAGTTTTTACAATGTCCACATCTTAAACAGTGTCAGCTATTATATAAAAAAACAAATAAACTTAAAGATAACCGTCACAGTCATTGAAAAAGTGTCATTAACCCTTTTATTATGAACGTGTTGCCGACGACAACTTTACAAGCCTACTAGGTGGAAACTTTGAGGCTTATGTGGAACAAGGTTAATGTTCATGATACATATCATATCATGTTTATGACAGGTTCATGACATCCTTATGTCACCCCCTTCAAGTAAAATGTAACCAAAAAATAGCTAAAGTGACAAGTGACAAAAATTGGGCAACTAGGGCGACTAAATGAAGTTCAGAACATCTAAACTTTACGCAAAGTTGATGTGTTTCATGTGTAAATGTAATGGCAATGGACATGTTATGAGCGAACACCCATTTTAAACAACTCTGCTTTATGAGCATTAAAAGTGATTTTACAAGTTTATTTGCTTTTAGCGTGAACACACGGTTACAGCATACTGACACTACGGATACAACAACAATACCAAGAAACTACCAGGTGGCAGTAGTTTACCAACAACATAGCCTAACTTAACGTTGCCTAACCATTGACTAAAGGACATAAACAAGGACACAAATTCATTTTTCTTTCAAAAATCATAATTACAAAATATGCACTTTTTTTTTCAAATACAGTTTTGAAACGGTTACTATGCAACAATGAACTGTACTGTAGATAATACTATAATCCTGAAGTTGTTTCTTCAAAAGTTTAGTAAATGTCCTCATGGCCCAATGAGACTAAAAGGTAAATAAATAAAGATTGAATGAATAAAAGAGTATTTAATCTTAGTTAGTTTTCTGTATGTAAGACTACTCAGTTATAGGGAAATGTTGGTGTGGCTCAGTATTAATTTCAGTAATCAGCACAGTAACTGTTTTTTAAACATAAGCATGCGTTCTGTCATACTTATATTGGGCTGTTTATTTAAGATAAGATGAAATTTGAAAATTAGCACAGTGTTGACTAGACTGAGCAATATTGCTCATTATATCATCTTACGACGATGATGGGCAAACTATAATTCATGTGGAATAATGTTTTAGTTTGTGTGGTGGGGCTTTATCTGCCAGGTTACCAGTCATAGATTTTTACACATTACTCTTGTTATTGCTTCTATTTTCCAAAACAGTCTAACTTGTTTAAAAGTCATCCATCCATCCATCCATTATCTTTACCCGTTTATTCCATTTTGGGTCACGGGGGTCACTGGTGCCCATGTCCAGCAATCACTGTGCGAGGGGCGGGGTACACCCTGGACGGGTCGCAAGTCCATCACAGGGACACATAGAGACAAACGAGACAAACAACCATTCACTCACTCATTCACACCTAGGGGCAATTTTAGAGTTACCAATCAGCCTAACATGCATGTTTTTGGTCTGTGGGAGGAAACTGGAGTACCCGGAGAAAACCCACGCATGCACGGAGAGAACATGCAAACTCCACCCAGAAAGGCCCCTGGACCGGGGTTTGAACCAAGGACCTGCTCGCTGAGAGGCAGCAGCTCTACCAGTTGCGCCACCGTGCTGGTTTAAAAGTCATATGATCAATAAATCGACTGTGTGGCTTTTGTCACTGCTGTACTTTGTATTTTTATCTGCTCACTTTACAACATCCAAGCCATGAATTTTGGCACAAAATCTGGCAAAGGTGGAGCACCCAAAATCACGATAAGGTGAAATGTCTAAAAAAGTTAAATCTGGTCCTCTGGACATTCAAAAAAACCCAAAACAAAGCAAAACAACAAAAAATGTAGAAACGTTTCGTCTCTCGTCCGAGAGACTTCTTCAATCTGAGGTGCTGTTTTCAGCTCAGTCTCTTAAACCGTCATGTTGCAGAGCAGCTGCAGTTAAAACACAACTAGTAATTCAACATGTTTCATTAACTAAAACTGGAGACATGAAGTATTAATGTTGATAAATTGTGGTACAGAACAGTCAGATAACGCTTCACAATGGCAAAAAAAAGTGTCGTATTTTCATCAACTTACCGGAGAAAACACGGAGAATGAACTACGTTCAATGCTGAACCTCTGCTGTTTGGAACTATTTGCAGCTGCACGACCCACGTGACTTTCGCATTCCATTCTTCTATGGGAGTGTCGCAACTCTCTCATAGGGATCTGGTTGCTGCCAACCATGGATATCATAGATATCATATAATTACTGCCAACGCCTCAGTAAGGACAGCGTCGTTGCTGAGTGACGTCACTACATAATTTGCATAAATGCCTTCGTCGGCTTTCATCTGTGTCGGCTTTCAACGTCACTAAGGCATTTCTGCGTTAGAGTCCTGACGTCACTACATAATTTG